ATAGCATACTTTTTAGAAGAAATTTTATATTATATTAGTCTTTGTTCATTTACAGCTTTCACAGAAAGTATAAAACAAAGCGACTTCACAAATTAAAAATAAGCCAAGCTATAAAGCCAAAGAAATGTAAATAACATATAATTTCACGAGATTGATAATGTTGCTTTGGCAGCCCTAAATCACAATCTGTAACATGAACATGGTATTGATGACAACACAAACTCTCTTAATTTAAACATTCCTTCATTAAGGAGAGCCTGATGATACAATCTCATCCTTCTGCCAGTGTCCTTACTCAAACTCCTGCAAAATCTCTGCAAGTACAAACTTATGTATTATAGAGGAAATACATCTGCTGCATATTGAGTACATCTTTACATTTTTGTCATTGACTAGAAAAAGAATTTCATTAATCTATGATGCCTCTGATTATTAAATACATAATTATTTTATTTTTACTTTATTTATTTATTTATTTTATTTATTTATTTTTTTAGATGGAGTCTTGCTCTGTCACCCAGGCTGGAGTGCAGTAGCGCGATCTCGGCTCACTGCAACCTCTGTCTCCCAGGTTGAAGCAATATCCTGCCTCAACCCCCTGAGTAGCTGGGATTACAGGCTTGTGCCACCACACCCGGCTAATTTTCGTATTTTTAGTAGAGACGGGATTTCGCCACGTTGGCCAGGCTGGTCTCAAACTCCTGACCTCAGGTTCTGCCCACCTCGTCCCCCCAAAGTGCTGGGATTACAGGTGTGAGCCACCACACTCAGCCTACATAATTATTTTGTATACCACTAAGAAGGAAAAGTTGGCCGAGCGCAGTGGCTCACGCCTGTAATCCCAACACCTTGGGAGGCTGAGGTGGGTGGATCACCTGAGGTCAGGAGTTCAATACCAGTCTGGCCAACATGATGAAACCCCGTCTCTACTAAAAATACAAAAAATTAGCTGGGCGTGGTGGCGGGCACCTGTAATTCCAGCTACTCAGGAGGCTGAGGCAGGAGAATCGCTAGAACCCGGGAGGCAGAGGTTGCAGTGAGCCGAGATTGTGCCCTTGCACTCCAGCCTGGGCAACAAGAGCAAAACTCCATCTCAAAAATAAATAAATTAATTAAGTTAAATTAAATTAAAAATAAAGAAAAATACTTCTAATTAAACTATGACACAATGCTAAGGTATCATCAGTTGTAAGTGCATCATAATTTTGGAGATACTAAACAAGTCTATCTTATGATGAATGAATACAATAGTGCTGCTTAGTACCATGACAATATTTAATATAAACCCAAAATTTGGCTCCAAAATCACTGGGTAACACGTTAAAATACAAAATATATTTATAATGAATTTATTTAAATTATCAGTGACCTGAAAACAACATTCAAAAGACATTTCTAGGGAACTTGTGAAACCTAAAAACATATACATGCATTCCTGGTATTCCACCAACACTACTTTGAGAAACACTGACTTAGGCTTCATGTTCAAACCACAGTAACATCACTGAGACATCAGAACTGTCGTAGAAATTGACAAGATCACAGCAAGGAAGCATTCTCAATTCTTAAAAGAGAACAAAGACCCTACACCTAAGAGAAATTATTTTAACATTTTGTTTACCAAATGCCACTTGTGTATGGTAGAATGACACCTTAGAAAAAAAGGAAACCAAAAATTTTCGACTCTGCCATTTTGAAAACTAAGGGTGTTCACTTTCAATAATTAACTGCTATATTCCAACACTATTTTATCATTTTATGTACATTACCCCAATGTGATATTATCCACATCTTCACAATACATCTATAATTTTAATGCATCTCCCTTTTTGGTGTAAATATTTTCCACTCAGTATGTGTTCCAAAAATATCCATATAAACTCTGCCATTCTATCATCTCCTTAACTTCCAACCTTACCTGAATTCGACATTTTTATTTCCCAACAATTACACAACTCAACATCTATTATAGATAGGAAAACATACATGAGAATAAAAGAATAAATATTAAATTCATACATTATCATTTTACCAATAAATAACTACTCTTCTCATTTGGGTATATAGCCTTTGAGAAGTTTTAATGCATATAAAGCTTGATACTTCTCAAAAATGGGATATACTGTGTATATAGTCATGTAACCACCTTTCCTATTTAAAATTATATGCTGCATTTTTTCCATGTAAATAAATGTAGATGTCAATCAATATTTTCAATGGCTGCAGAATATTTAAATATGCAGATATATCTTAATTTTATGGGTAAAAAGTCAATAAAATCATCCATAGAGAACTAATAACATTCTCGGAGTATGCAGCAGAGTTTATGCAGAGATAATTTAGATATGTTTTCTTCATAAAAAGTGTGGCATGTGATTTTACAGCCTACTTTTCCCACTTAAGATTATATGCTGCCGTTCTCTCTTATTTGTGGAAGATAAAAATTCAAACAATTGAACTCATAAGAGAGTAGAATGACGGTTACCAAAGACTGAGGGGAAGTGGGAAGTGGGAATGCTTAATGGGTACAAAAAATGGATAGACTACAGAATGGGAGAAAATTTTTGAAGTCTACTCATCTGACAATGGTCTAATATCCAAAATCTACAAGGAACTTAAATAAATTTACAAGTAAAAAACAAACAACCCCATCAAAAAGTGGGCAAAGTATATGAACAGTCACTTCTCAAAAGAAGACATTTATGTGGCCAAGAAACATGAAAAAAGGCTCAACACCACTGATCATTAGAGAAATGCAAATCAAAACCACAGTGAGATACCAGCTCACACTAGTCAGAATGGCTACTATTAAAAAGTCAAGAAACAACAGATTCTGGCAAGACTGTGGAGAAATAGGAACACTTTTACACTGTTGGTGAGAATGTAAATTAGTTTAACCATTGTTGAAGACAGTGTGGTGATTCCTCAAGGATCTAGAACCAGAAATACCTTTTGACCCAGCAATCCCATTACTGGGTATATACCCAAACGATTATAAATCATTCTACTATAAGGACACATGCATGCGTATGTTTATTGCAACACTATTTACAATAGCAAAGACATGGAACCAACCCAAATGCACATCAATGATAGACTGGATAAAGAAAATGTGGTACATATACACCATGGAATACTATGCAGCCCTAAAAAGTAATGAGATCATGTCATTTGCAGGGACATGGATGAAGTTGGAAGCCATTATCCTCAGCAAACTAACACAGGAACAAAAAACCAAACACCGCATGTTCTCACTCAGAAGTGGGAGCTGAACAATGAGAACACATGGACACAGGGAGGGGAACATCACATGCCAGAGCCTGTTGGGGGGTAGGGGACAAGAAGAAGGAACTTAGATGACAGGTTAATAGGTGCAGCAAATCACCATGGCACACGTACACCTATGTAACAAACCTGCACGTTCTGCACATGTATCCCGGAACTTAAAGTAAAATAAAAATTAAAAATAAATAAATAAAACTAAATGGTTAGAAATAATGAATAAGATCTAGTATTCGATAGCTCAACAGGGTGACTATAGTCAATAATAATTTAATTGTACATTGTAAAATAGCTAAAAGAGTATAACTGGATTGTTTGTAACACAAAGGATAAATGCTTGAGATGATCGATACCCCATTAACCCTGATGTGACTATTATACATTGCATGCCTGTATCAAAATATCTCATGTAACCCATAAATATATACACCTATTATATACCCACAAAAATTAAAAATTATTTTTTTAAAAAAAACTATATGCTGAATTTCTGATGTAGGTAAATGTAGATGTCCATCAATATTTTCAATAGCTGCATAGTATTTAAATGTGTAGACATACATTAATTTATTTAGCTCACTGCCTATCTTGAGATACTTGAGTCATTTACAACTTTACACCTTTCAAAACAGTTTGAAGATGCACAGCTTCCTACAAGCCAATTATGTGATTATTTCCTAAAGATACATTTCTACAAGTGGAATTACAGGGTCAAAGGATGTGCATATATTCCAATGGACCTTGTACCAGTGTATACTCCCACCAGCAGTTTGAGAGTGCTCCTCCCCTGACACCCTCACCCTCACTAAGGCGTGGGAGTGAGGTAGATTTTCTATGTGTATCCCAACAACACTCTCTATGGTTCCATAAAGGCCCCACCTTAACCAACCTTATAAAGGAAATCTGATACAAGCACTAAAACTTATTCTTTCTTATTATTCCAAAGTTGTAACTGTTTACTTATATGAATACTAGAACTGGCCAAGAGGACATTTTTCTGTCAAATACCCCAAGGACCCTAAAATAAAATTGGTCCTCTTTGTATGTCTCCAGAATACATCTCAGCACTTTTTGGTTCAAAAGGTCTCTCATTTCCATCCTCTCTTTACCATTCCCATGGCCACCAGTAAAACTTCACACCTTTATTATCTCATGCCTGGACTAACTTGTGGTAGCTTCCTGTTTTTTCCAATCTCCAGTCACCACTCCTATCCCCACCCCAGCTTGGACTCCTGTCGCACATAAATCTACCATATCGTTTTCCTTTCATCTTGTCATTCCTCTGATCACAAAAGGCCTTGATGTCTCCCAGGGGTGGATGCAGTAATATTCACACACCCCAGTTTAGCAGTTAGGGGTGCTCCATGAACAGGACTCACCTTTACCGCCTGACTCTCTCTGTCATCACTACCCTCCCTACACTTACCATTCCAGCAGGTCAGCACTTCTCTCTGGAGAAGGATTCCCATCTCCATGCCTTTCTTTTCATCCCTCCTCCTGTCTTGAGTGCCCTTCTGACTTTTTGTATCCTGTCCTTCAAACCCAGCTTACTTAAGAGTTCTCCTTTGTAAAACTTTCCTTGCGCACTGTTGCCTGCAGCTGTTTCTGCTGCCTCTAAGCATTGATGGTCTCCTGGGTTTGTTAATATCTCTTTGTTTTAGTTTCCATATATCTTACCTTTCCAAACAGATCATAAACTGAAGGACAAGGACAATGTCTTTTTTTTCTGCTGCTTAAAACACAACTTTATTGATGGAACACAAGTCTTAGATTAACAAATATAAACTAATATAAAAGTGTAGCTTATTCATGATGTATAACTAATTCATTGTCAGTTTAGGTAGAGGAAAGAGTAAAAATATCTCAATCTAGGTAATAAGATCAAATCAATAAATTCTTTCTGTGTACAAGTACTAATATTCCATTTGGCATCCTTAAAATGGTTCATCCTCAACCCAACCATTAAAACCAACATCAGTCACTGTTATGATATATGATAGTCATTATTCCAAAATAGCAGCTGAAAAGATCTCTTTACCATATATTCACAATGAAAAACAAAGAATTTACAAAACATATCGTACCAAGTGCAAATACCTCAATACTCTTTGGGACAGACTCCAAATTAGAGTTTGGTTAATACTTTCAGGACTTTTACTTTCACCACCAGATCATTGTGATTTGCTAGTGCTTTGATTTTCTTAACACAAACTCCAGACTCTTTGAATAAGAAAAAAAGTGAACTTCTGCTGAATTCTTTCCTGGATGATGCAAGCCCTTCATTTTTTATGTTGTCATTTATATTCTCAAATAGGGTAAGGATATTAAGAAGAATCTCTCTATCCCATTCTTTATTAAAAAGGGAAATCAATTCTGATGGTACTTTACAACTGACCAGCTCTCTTGTCATGGCTGGATTTTCAGTAAAGTTTATAATTAGTTTCATAGTCTGTATCTTGGTGAAGTGATTTCCCAGGAATAACAAAGCAAAAAAGTCTGGAAAAGAATAGGAAAGCAAATGTTGGTAATGATTAGTCACAGTCATGTTGGTTAACAGTCTTAACCCAGCCATCTGCACAGCTGAGTCCAAGCGACAGACCATGGTGTCATCACACACTTGACTGATGTACGTCTTAATCTTACCCTGATTTTCTGCATTCACACTCAAGTTATTAAGGGCATTGTAAGTCTTTTCTCTAATTATGGGGTCTTTCGTTTTTATCAGTTTTGCAATAATTGGGACACCACCCAATTCACGTATGGCATTCTGGTTAAATGAATATGCTGCATTGTTACCCAGAGTGACCAAGGCTACTTCTTGAATAAAAGGATCATTTGTTCGCTCCAGTATGTTGAGGACCTTTTGAAGATCGGGAGCACTCAGAATATCATCAATTTTATAAGGAAAGTTGAACTTGCCTCTGCGGACAGGCCATGTTGTAGCTGGAGCCCTGGTGCTCTTACTTCGGGCCTTTCCCTTGGATTTTCCACTTGCCCTGCTCCCAGCCCTAGATCCACTCCTGGTAGGGTGGCAGCCTCCACCCCTGCCTCCTGGGCAGGGTAAACTCGGTGCAAGGGTCCTGTTCCCAGAGATGGTACCCGCCCTAGCCCCTTTGCCTGCCTTTGCACTTGCCTGTTCCTTCAGCGTGTTGAAAAGGGCCTTGGCCTTGGCCTCTAGGCCACCTCCACTGTGGGATCCTGAATGGGCCTTCTCTTTTACACCTGGACAATCCTCGAGTCCCAAACTCACCTCAGGCTTGACCTTTGAATCACCCTGAAGTTTGGCCCCAGACCCTGCCCCAACGTTAGTTTTAGCTCCTTTCACAGTCTCAACCCCAGTCTCTGAGGTGTCCGTAGACTCCTCGTCTTCATCCCAGATTTTCTCGTTCTCGTCTCTTCCCCAGGCCAGTCTGTATACACAGTAGCAGGCACCAGCCCCGATAACCACACCAGCGGCCACGCAGCCAGCTTCCCGAGTGCGGCCCATGGTATAGCCGGGACAAATCTCTTAACCGGAGCACAGAACAGGCTCGCTCTGGCCCAGAGAAGCGCGAACACGTCGCGGGCGGAGTCTGCAGCTACTGCTGGCCGGCTCTGAGGCAGCTTGACCTAGGAATAAAGGATGCAGTTCAGATTTCAGGCTCCTCCTCCTTTTGTGTCTTTGCCACGCAAACAGACTGAAACAACGGCAAAACAAACAAACGTACAAAAATACAGATATATTGGCAAACTCGGGGCTTAATATCTAGATCACTGATTCCTTTCTTCCATCCGGAAGCTAAGTTTGGAAATTTTCCCCACTTCAAGACTCTCCAACCTCACGTTCCACCACGTCGCCCCAGAATGTTAAAGTTCCCTGCCATCCTGCCCTTCAGATGTCCTGGGAACAGTGGCGCCCCCACATGCACCCACAGAGGTCCAGGCAGTTTTTTCCTTCTCTTTCTTGCTTCCAAGGGCACTGCTTCGTGCAAACCTGCAGACAAGGACGCGAGGAGGGGGTGCCGAGAGCTAGGGGGACATACAGATATCACCCGGGACGGGACATACATCCCTCTTCTGAATTCCTAGCCCTTTACAACTGCCTTGCCCGATGTTTCCCGCCTTCGGTTGCCCTCCACTCCTCACAGAGGTGCGGCTTTGGAATTCATTGTCTCCCTCCCTCTTCCTCCTTCGATGATTCCTCTAACCCTCCATTCCACCTCCACCCCTACTCTTATCATTGGCATCCTCCGAAGATGTCGCCACACATTTTCATTGTTAACATTTTCCTTGTAACAAAATGAAGTGAGAATATCTAAAAGCCGGACTGGCGTGAAATGCGTAAAGGTCCTCAACTCTGTCCTTGCCTCCGCCAACTCCTCCATCTCAAAGGTACCAGGACACCCCCACTCATCCCCCACCCCCGCCGTGTCATTATACCAACTACCTCTGCTCGGGAGCAATTTCTTACCTCCCTTACCTCAGTTTCTGCTTCCACTAAACCTTGAAGACTAACAAACTTCAGAAGTGAGTGCTTGGTCGACGGACCAACACCAAGGACACTGTACCTCAAACAGTAATTTGGAGTAACGTCCTCCCAACCCCTGGACTCTCTTGACGCCCACCCCTTCTCAGCTATTTGCTTCCCTGTCTTGTACCTGCAGAGCAATTTATTTTGCAAGATCCGAAATTGTGTAGGGAAGAAGGGAAGAAGGGAGATGTGGAGGGGGTCCACGGGCCCACTCGAGTTGCAGTCGCCACCATGCTCCACCCCCAAATAATGCCATCACCCTTATTATGACCTACTTGGTTCTTGACAACTTTGCGTATCTTCCTGCTCCAAAGGTTGGACTGGCCTCCGGCCCCAAGATCTGCAGACACAAGCAACAAGGCAGAAACTGATGGCTCAGCGGACAGAAAAGCACTTCGGAGAGTCCCAACATCCGCTTTTCCTAATTCAGGGTCCTGGCTGTCAACGGAGTTTACCTTTTTGTCTGTCACCCTACCCTCACTTCTCTGGACTCGGCTGACACCAGCCCTCCCGCTACGTAGTGTTGCCCCACCCCCGGTCCCCGCCTCCGGCCCTCCCTCCCGCAGCCCCAGCGGTCGGCCATTTTCCCAGCAAAAACCACACCCCTTTCAAACCACTGGAAGCGGGGCGGGGCGGGGGGGGGGATATGGAAAATCCGAGGAGAAAAACAAAACCAACCGATCTCTTCTATCCCTCTCCCCAACGCACCCTACCCGCAATGACAAGCACTTTTCCTGCAGGCACTGTTACATCCTTTTTTCCTAAAGGAAAAAAAAAAATGGCAGGAAGATTGCTTGAGACTCGGTAAAGGGCCCAAGTTAAGGCAAGGACCTCAGTCATCCCAGTCCTTCCGAGGGCCGCGGGACAGCCCCAGCTTTACACTGACCTGCAGGGATTCCAGGCAGACTATTCCTTTGTTCCCAAATGGCACAGCGCCCTACTGAAAGAAAAGGGGAATGACTGTCAGACGCACAACCCCAAGATTCTGGCTTGGTAGATGGACCAGCACACAGGATACGAATCCGAATATCTGCCCTCCCTGATTCAAGGCCCAGGATGTTAAAGGTCCCACCACGCCCGAGTCTGGGGTCGCCCCTGGAATCCGGCCCCAAGGTCCACCATTTTTGTTCTAGAAAGGGACAGGAATACTGCAAGGGTTTGGAGAAAGCGAACTGCTCCCCCTTCGGCCTCCACCCTTCACTGCCCGCGCCGCAGGGATCCCCTGGCAACGCCCATCCACACACAAACCTGCTGGGATCCAGGCAGTAACCTCGTCCTCCTTCCCCCAGGCCACAGGCCCTCTCGCCCTCTGGGCGATATTGAGAGAGTGCAACCGGACCAAACGAAGACTAAGATTAGAAGGACGTCTGCACGCGTCGGCTCCAGCTCACGTGAGGGCCACGTCAACCGTGAGATCAGGACCCCAATTACCACTCCCATCAGCAGTGCCGCAGAAGCCGGCCCTCCCCTTCCTTCCCTGACACATCAGGTCCTGCCACTCATTTTCCTCTTTGCCAATCCCGGAGACCAGAAGTAGCTTCCCTTTGTGGTTGAAATTTGCCTTTCTTTGGCTTACAGGGAGAGGCTGTATCTGCTCCCGTGTCCGTTGGCCTTTACTTCCTCTTCGAGGAATAATTTTTTATCTTCTCTCGTCTCAGTCCAACTGTCTCTCTCTATACCTCCCCCCACCACTAGTCATGAATGTCCAATATTTCTTCTGCACAACTGTAAAATGTGGAGCAAGGTGTTGGAAAAGGAGACAGATCGTGGGAGTGTCTTATTTAAACTTTTCTGCTCATTTGTTTTTAAATCAATAATGCATTACTTTTATATTGAGAAAATAAAATGATGCTATTTTCCTTTGAGTAGAGAGTTTAAACGGGAGAGAAAACGCAAAAGGCCTCATTAATTTCGTTATTTTATTTGTAACAGAAGGAAAATATTTCTACTGGTTACAGCCAAATAGTAGCTTTTAAAACAAAATAACTCATTTTTAAAACTGAAAAGCGGGCTGAGGTGGGTGGATTGCTGGAGCCCAGGAGTTTAAGGCTGCAGTGAGCTATGATCTCACCACTGCACTCCAGTCTGGGTGACAGAGAGCAAGCCTCTATCTCTTAAGAAAAAAAAATGGATTTTTTTTACATGATCTATGAATTAGTCCACAAAGAGACAACCAGTTGTCTAATCTTGGCCGTTTTACACAAATGATTCCTTACTTTTTCAATTTTTGAATCAACTTGCAATTTGATAAGATAAAAGCAACACAACCCTGTCTTATTTAATTAAAGCATGTATTTAACATCCCAAAGTCTTGACCAACTGTTATATGAACCTATGGTGATTTGATGGCTACTCTGATCACCTGCCTTTGAATTGAATTCCAGTCTACCAAGGCTGAGGCACCTGAGGGTGTGAAGGATGCAGAGATGTTCTAATCCTCCCTGCCCTGTCAACAGCGGAAGAAGGTGCTGCCCTCCCACCCTTCCACATTCCATAGCCTCTCATCCCCTGTATTCAGGCACTGGTCTGTTGTTCACTCCAAAAATATATATAGATGAGTGACCAAGGTGGTAAATGCCACGTTTACTCAGGTGACCAATCAGAGTAAAGACCTCTGGCTCCTTCCCTTCCTTCCTCAGATTCCCACAGAGGTAACTCAGCAATGCATCCAAGGCCTTACTGTTCCTACCTACGCCTCTTGCCATTATTCATGGTGCCTGAGTAGTTGCTCCTAGTACTGTGCGCTGCCACCACCTGACCAGAGAGGTGCAGCCCGCTGGGCTTCTTGGCCTCTGGCTTCCTTAAAAAGAGAACCTAATCTTGTTGCAGAGTTACTGCCTGCCAGTTCATATCCACCTTGGTGCCCACTCAGCCAAATGTATGCCCAAGGAACAATCCCCACGGATTAACCCAGAGTAGGCATTCTCACAGGGACAACCTTGTGGACCACCTGCGATTGTGTGCATAGGTATATTCATTTTCGTGGAGAAAGGAGCCATAGCTTTCATCGGATTCTCACAGGCATGTATGACTTTTAAAAAGTAAGAACTACTAATACTTTCCTGAAAAAAAAGCTATATATCCCCTCAACAGAAAATCTACTCCTGCCCAGCACTGTGGGATGCTGAAGCTGGCGGATCACTTGAGGTCAGGAGTTCGAGTCCTGGCCAACATGGTAAAACTTTGTCTTTACTAAAAATACAAAAATTAGCTGGGGGTGGTGGCGCGCACCTGTAGTCCCAGCTACTTGAGAGACCGAGGCAGGAGAATTGCTTGAACCCAGGAAGCAGAGGTTGCAGTGAGTTGAAATTGTGCCACTGCACTCCAGCCTGGGCAACAGAGCAAGACTCCATCTCAAAAAAAAAAAGAAAAAGAAAAAGAAAGAAAGTCTATTCCTCTCCCCTCTTCTCTGTCTCTAGTTATATACTTATTTTTTTAAGTGCAGAAATCTGTAAAGTAGAATGCAAAACTGCCCTGCAATGCCTATTCTACTGCCAAGCTCTTTCAATGATATCCACCTTTCTTCCTGCAAATATACAGTATATGTATGTGGATGTGTCAAGTTCCAAGTCGAACAATATACAAAACAAAACAATTGACATTTACTGTAGTACTTGCAATAAATCTGCACTTTAATTAGAGAATTTATATCTTTAAAAACGGAGTCTTTCTATCCATGCCAACTTTTGAGATTTTCAATAAATGTTATGTTTCTTTATACTTATTTCTTATTATGTTTGTGTTTTGTTTATATGAATGACATTCCCATTATGATTGCATGCTCTACCTGGTTATTGTTTGTCTCAGGTAAAGTAATTAATTATGATATATTTATCTTTAGAGACCATTCTTATTATTTCTAATAGTTTTTTCATTGATACTTTTGGTTTTTCTAGGTATGCATGCATAATATCTGCAAATGATGATTTTTCATTTCTTCTTCATGAGTATTTATATTCCGTATTCTTTCATTTTCTGCATGTATTCCATTGACCAGAACCTCCAGAATTAGCTTGAATGATAATGGTGATTGAGGGCCTCCAGATCTTATTCTTGAAGTAAATGGGAGTGCCCTTAATATTTCATTGTTTAATGTAACCTGACATTTGTTGTTTGTTTTTCATGTGTTCTTCATCTGTGTATGGATGATTTGGGGGGATGCCTAAAGCTGCACTTTTATAACCCTTTATATAAGACTGAGGAAAATTAAATTGTCCACATCATAATACTGGGAAGGAAAAGAAGTAGGGAGAGTGGCCACAAGTGCTGAGCTTATTGGGAATGTATTGGTAAGCAAAAACAACACAGACTTCTCTCATGGTGGAAATAAGACCTTAATAAAATAAGCGTGCGCGCGCACACACACACAGAGAGAGAGAGAGAGAGAGAGAGAGAGAGAAATACTGCAAAAGAAAAAACCTCTGTTAATGTAGTTTTTTAAAAAGTGGCATAGTCTGAGAATCAGGGAAAGTTTCCTTACTGGGGCAGAGAGAATGAAGTTTTCAGCTGAGATGAAGGAAAGCAGGTGGTAACTAGGAAAAGAGGGGAACAGAAAATAAAAAATCTCAATTTCCCCCACCCTTCTGATAACTACTGTGATAACCAATCTACTTCAATCTTAGGATAAATCCTATGAAAACCACTGTTAATTTTTCAGGTGACTCTTTCCAGGTTTTGTTGTTGTTTCATATATATTACCAAACAATATATGTAGATACATTACGTGTGTGTGTACACATATATCTTTCTAAAATAATTTGGGATTATATTATGCATATTATCCTGCATAACTATTTTTTTTCACCTGATATGTCATGTAAATCTTTTTAGCAGACACACTAATATTCTGTAGCGTGGGTTTACCAGAATTTAACCAATCTCTTACTGATTGATATTTAGCCTCTTCCTAATCTTTATCTACTATAAAAATGTTGCAGTGAGGACTTTTGTATACATATATTTTGGCAACTATGATATTATTTCCTCAAGATAAATTCCTAGAAGTAAAATACTTGTGTCAAAATGGGTGTTCATTTTAAATTTTACCCATGCTGCCAACTTTCATCTCTTAAATTTATAAATATATACATCAACAGATAGATAGATACATACATACATACATATATATGTGCATTCTATGTTGTGCTCCAAATAATTTATTTAATTATAAGTGAGATTAAACATCTTCTCAGAGGCTTGTTAAGCATCTGTATTTATCTTTCTGTGTACTGTCTTTCCTCATTTTTTAACTAGGTTGTTCATCTTTTTCTTACTAATACATAAGAACTTTCTGCAAATTAAGCAAATGAGTCTTTTGACTTTCGTAAGTGTTATAAATATTTTCCTGATTTATAAATTTTTTGGACTTCTACTATATAGAATTTTTCATCTTTACAGTACAAAATTTACCAACTTTTTTCTTTACATTTTTGAGGTTTGTGTCCTGCTTAGGGAGATCTGTGTTTTCTCCTAATTTTTATGTTTCCTTTTATATTTATTTTTGGTCCATATGGAATTATTTTCTTCCAAATGGCTAGTAAATTGTCCTAATGCTAATTATCAGATAATCCCCTCTTGAGCTCACTGATTTAAAGTGCCATCTTTACCATAATTATCATAATCTACACATCCACATATGTTTGTATCTAGTTCTTTATTCTTTATTATATTCTTTTAATCTGTTATCTTTTCTTTCTTCTTAAATAACAAACTGTTTTAACTATAGTGTCTTCATAATAGGTTTCAATATCTGAAGGGTAAGGTCTCTCATAACTCATCTTTTTTATCATTACCTGCCTATTCACATGTATTTACTTACTGACTAAAATCTGTTATTTTGTTACAGTCCCCTAAAAACTACCGTTTTTAATTTCAATTTGTGTTGCATATAATTTATAAGTTAACTGAGGGATAATTGGCATCTCACAGGAATATCTTTCTATACAACAACCCAGTTTTTCTACTTATTTGTCTTTATTTTTCTCAGCAGGGTTTCTGCAGTTTTTTAATAAAAATAACTCCTAGAACATTGCCTGGCACACTGTAGGTTATCAATCAATATTTACTGAATGAATGGATATGTCTTACAAATTTTTTGTTAAGTTTATTCAAAAGTAGCTTATCTTTTCCCGTGCCTATTGTCATTTGGATTTTTTCTTTTTTTACATTTTTGTTTGTTGTTTTTATATATGAAAGTGATCAGTTTTTAATCTATTGATTTCATAACCAGCCTTTTTATGGAGTTCCAAAGGTTTCAAGTAGTCTTTAGTTGATTCTGTTAGATTTGCTTCATTTGTAGTAATGATAATCTTGCCTGCCCCCTCCTTTCCAATATTAATATTACATTTATTTCTCTTGGTTAATTGCATTAACTAGTACTTCTAAAACAATGTTAAATAATTATGGAAATAACTGGTATTCTTGCCTTTTTCCTAATTTTAATGGAAATGCTTCTAGTGTTTATCCCTTAAACATGAAAGGCTTCTTGTTAGAAATGTATATATTTTGTCATGTTTAAGAAATATTCACCTATTCTTACTTCAGTAAGTTGCATCCAGAAGTTATCCGACTTTAAGTACAATTTGACTAAGATTCTGCTTCATTCCTTACATATAAGCTTTATCCTTGACTGTGCATTGTAATGGTATCAAAATAGCTACAGTAATTCTAGGCCTCATACCAGCACCTCAGTCAGAGTCCTAGCTAGAAAAAACAATCTAAATCAGATGGTTCAAGG